GTACACGCATCCTTTCCTCGAGCAGAAGTACACGCATCCTTTCCTCGAGCAGAAGTACACGCATCCTTTCCTCGAGCAGAAGTACACGCATCCTTTCCTCGAGCAGAAGTACACGCATCCTTTCCTCGAGCAGAAGTACACGCATCCTTTACTCGAGCAGAAGTACACGCATCCTTTACTCGAGCAGAAGTACAACGCATCCTTTACTCGAGCAGAAGTACACGCATCCTTTACTCGAGCAGAAGTACACGCATCCTTTCCTCGAGCAGAAGTACACGCATCCTTTCCTCGAGCAGAAGTACACGCATCCTTTACTCGAGCAGAAGTACACGCATCCTTTACTCGAGCAGAAGTACACGCATCCTTTACTCGAGCAGAAGTACACGCATCCTTTACTCGAGCAGAAGTACAAGCATCCTTTACTCGAGCAGAAGTACACGCATCCTTTCCTCGAGCAGAAGTACACGCATCCTTTACTCGAGCAGAAGTACAAGCATCCTTTACTCGAGCAGAGTACAAGCATCCTTTACTCGAGCAGAAGTACACGCATCCTTTCCTCGAGCAGAAGTACACGCATCCTTTACTCGAGCAGAAGTACACGCATCCTTTACTCGAGCAGAAGTACACGCATCCTTTACTCGAGCAGAAGTACACGCATCCTTTCCTCGAGCAGAAGTACACGCATCCTTTACTCGAGCAGAAGTACACGCATCCTTTCCTCGAGCAGAAGTACACGCATCCTTTCCTCAAGTAGAAGTACACGCATCCTTTACTCGAGCAGAAGTACACGCATCCTTTACTCGAGCAGAAGTACACGCATCCTTTCCTCAAGTAGAAGTACAGATACTCGTGTTTAAAAATACTCCGGTAGAAGTACTGACTAAACTTCTTTACTCGAGTAAAAGTAAAGAGGCTTTGAAGTGTACTTCAGTAAAAGTACCCATAACTAGCAGCTGCTTTAAAGAGTACCTGACCTCCCTTTATATTAATAGAACACGATGATGTCACTTCCTGAGGATGCTGATGTCACTTCCTGCTGATGATGATGTCACTTCCTGCTGATGATGTCACTTCCTGAGGATGATGATGTCACTTCCTGCTGATGATGTCACTTCCTGAGGATGATGTCACTTCCTGCTGATGTCACTTCCTGAGGATGATGATGTCACTTCCTGCTGATGATGTCACTTCCTGCTGATGTCACTTCCTGCTGTTGATGATGTCACTTCCTGCAGGTCTTGGAGGGCAGCTGTCTCTTGATGATCAGGTGATCGCTCTCCTTCTATATCCAACAGTAGCTGCTGTTAGCTGGTGAGTTCTAATGTAGACATCTATGAAACATTAAGATGGGTGTCTGTCGTTTCCTCCTCACTGCATCTGGGGAGTCCTGCAGCGTGGCGTCCATCTTGAACATCCTGCGTCCTCGTTTGGGTCTCTGCACCGCCTCTTTCTCCACAGAGTGACCGCTCACCAGCCCCATGATGCTCTTAGCTGCACACACACACACACACACACACACATGCCTCAGATACTTTGTCTGTTGAGGTGATTTAAGTGTGAGTGTTGAAAATGAGTTTGTGTTTAACATGGCCTCCCTTGTGTTGAGTGAGTCCTCTCATACTGGTTCTAAATTAGATGCCAGGTTGAAAGTGAGGTTAGCTCTTCTCCAGTGGGAGGAGCTGGAGATCAGGAAGTTGGATCCTCTTCGGGTTAGTGTCAGGTTCTGATCCTCTTGATGTTGGTAACAGCATTCAGCTAGCTCCAGTATTTTGTGAGTCTGAAGTTGAGTCATACTTTGTGTTTGAGCGCATTGCTGCTGCTTTGCGATGGCCCAAAGATGTGTGGGCCATACTGTTACAGTGCAAGCTAGTTGGTAAGGCTCAGATGGTTTGCTCTTCTCTTCCTGTTGAAGATAGTATTGTGTACGAAAAGGTTAAATGCGCTATTCTCAAAGTGTATGAGCTTGTGCCTGAAGCTTATAGGCAGCGTTTTTGTGGCCTAAAGAAAACACCTGGCCAAACTTTTGTAGACTTTGCAATAGAGAAGAGCAAGCTATTCAACGGATGGCGTAAGGCATCATAGGCTGACGACTTAACTTAACTTGTAATCTCATAGAGCTGGAGGCGTTTAAAAACGGTATCCCAGAACATACTGTTCATTTAAATGAACGCAAAATGACCTCCTTGCAGCCACTACGGCGGATGAGCTGGTGTTAATGCACAGTGGGGTTTTGGCTCGGAGCGATTCTCCCCATCGTGTTTCTTTCCGGAAAGCTCGTAACAGCCGTGCCACACATTCTCATTCTCTTCCAGGACCCAAGAAGAAGAGTGTTTCTTTTGTCTTGACCCTGGTCATCTAGTGGTGAGTTGCAGTTAAGTTCTGCGTCCGTCTGTGACAGTGCTGTGGGTGTTCCCGTCTCTGACGCGGTGGGTGTGGACCTGGCTCAGAGTAGTGGTGGAATTCCGGCTCTTCTTAGTGAGCCGGATCATTTGGCTTGGGCCCAGGGGCTCCGCCAGGGATTTTGGGCCCCATGAAAAGATATCACATTGGGCCTCACGACCAGGCCTTATGCTTATGGTGTAAAACAAATATGAATATCTGACACACACACACAGGGGCACCGACAGGGATTTTGGGCCCCATGAAAAGATATCACATTGGGCCTCACGACCAGGCCTTATACTTATGGTGTAAACAATATATTGATATCACATTGGGCCCCACCACCAGGCCCAGGCCACGCCAACCAAGCACAATGCTGTACCCACACCTCCAGAACCCAACCCACTCATTGATGCTTTAAATAACTCTACCTGTACAGGCTTGCATCTATCTTGTAGTTAGTATTGGACTACAAGATAGATGCAAGCCTGTACGGTCCTGGCACCAGGGGGAGGGACAACTGGTTTAGTGAATAGCTGCTAAAAATGTACCTGCATTTACTAAATGTCAGCTAAAAGAGGAGTGAAATGAAAAACACCAGATTTTTCTGTGAAGATATTAACAGTATTTAATGTCAGCAAAACATTATAATTATTTACAATGGACTAAGCTTAGCTAACAGACTAATTTCCACCACTCATGGACCACACCCACCTTTTCTTTTGAAAAACTGGGTGACATACTGTCGCCCTTTAGTCCCTCTCTTGTCTTTCTCTCCTTTATTTTCTCTTTTGACTTTGTGAGTTGTTGAGACATCGTACACCAGTAAGTACTAGCATCCCTGCTCACATGCTCTCACTCTCTCAATAAATTAAATGAATCGTAAGTTTAGTGAGTACATCATCAATATGACGTTATATTAATGATTGATGAAAAGTTACTTAAACATTTTTTGTTAATGTTCTAAAAGTATTTGGGGCCCCTGTCAGTCACGGGCCTTAGAATCGTCCTAACTTATCACCCCCTTACGGCTCCCAAACGGCTCTTCAGTTTACCACATATTATACCTTTTTATAATTAAATCAAATGTAGCCCTGTTTTGACTAATGATTTATATGTGTACACATATAACTTAAATGATTCAATACATCCTTTGTACTGAAGTATTCAAAAGTAAAAATGACATGTTTAATATAAATGATTTGCTGTGGCCAAAGGTTTTCATTGCATTGACAGACCCTAACTCTCTGATCCCACCCAATGAATGCACTGACTTGCAGAACCACGCTACACAAAGCAGATAGCAACACCTATAAAAACTTAAGCATAGAAATTTAAAAGGGGCTACTGTATCGACATTTTAAAGAAATATATATTTAAAGAAAAGGCCCTGACAAAACAGCAGGGCTCTGTTTCAGTATTAACTATAGAGGAAAAGACAGCAACAGCTGACATCAAATCTCTGCTGAGCCTAAAGATAATCATAAATAACATAGTGAAAATAAATGTATTGCAGTGCTCAAAACGGCAGCATCCAACCGTCTCTAATCCTTGGATATTACATGTCACTGCATGCATGCACGGAGCAGCTGTAGCGCGGAGATCATCATATCATTCTGTCTTAAGTATCACTTAACAAAACGGCTCGTTCGCGGGTGCGAGTCGGCTCCCGTCGTTCACTTAAAACTCGTTCGCGACCGACATCACTAGCTCAGAGCGATGTGGATCTGTGTTCAGTGAGAGGTGGGTGTTGCTCCGGTGTTGGCTGCATGTGAGCAGTATAACGTGTTTCATGTGTGCAGCATGTCTCTGTGTGAGGCCTGTGTTCTTGTGAATTGTTAGATGTGCTCCAGTTTACCTTTTTGTGTATTGTTTAATTTAGTCACTTTCTTTTACAAGGAAGTTGTTCTTAGTTACTTTAAGTTTGTTTTGCAAATGGACTGGTGAGCGTCTTTTCTTTCTTATTAATGAAACTTTAAGCATCACTTTGTGGCTTCAGCAGTCAGTTTCCTCGCCTCTTTCTCGCTCCCGGTTATTTTGGTGTTTTGTCACTTCCTTTGTACCCCCAGTTTAGGAGGGAACGTAACAATAACAAAGGTATGACAGGATGTGTGATTACCTAGAAGAGCATCAGGACTGTTTGAGGCAGATGATAGCTATGTGATGAACATGATGATTCAGCCTCTATGGAGAGAGACATCAAGCATGCTCATTTCTGACGTGGAGCTAATCTGAAGTAAACATTGAATACTGCTTTCTATTCCTCCATCTTGTGACTGTGTAACTCCCTCTCTTGGATATCAGCATGTGAAGGACACTGTTCAGGAACTAGTCTCTGTATGTGATGACTCCTTCCACTCTGGAGAGGATCACAGACACATGGATCCTGAGGCTCAAGCTGGAGACCAGGGATTATTAACATTTTAAGATTTTGTGAAAAGTCTGAATTTTGAGATTTTGTGAACAAATCTGAATTTTGTGAAAAAGTTATAATTTTGTGAAAGTTGTGATTTTGAGAAAAAGGCAGTATTTTGTACATGACGACTGGTTTTCCTCCATCTTGTGACTGTGTAACTCCCTCTCTTGGATATCAGCATGTGAAGGACACTGTTCAGGAACTAGTTGATGCTCTGTATGTGATGACTCCTTCCATTCTGGAGAGGATCACAGATACATGGATCCTGAGATTCAAGATCAAGCCGGGGACGAGTGCTGCCAATGATCTTTTAGATTGGTTCAGAAGCTTTAAGTTAACCGTTCTCTATTCTCTATAAACTGGTTTAAATTTGTCCGAAGCCTTTCTCTAGTTGCAGAAAGTACCGCAGCAGGTGGACGTGTTGATGGACCTGCTCCCTATGATGGTGAGAATCAATACTCCAACGTAGGCTACCCCGCTACAAATAAAGGTACGTTTTCCAACTTTTAGACTGGTTTAGAGGCATTACATCACATTATTCCCTAAAAACGTGGACATCTTGCCTAATATGTCTGTTTCAGGTCAGACTGGTCTCGATGATGGTCCTTTTCCTTATGATGGTGCAAAACCTGTGTCAAAAGACTAGGTCTTCCAATAAAACCATTTAGAAACTTAAAATTTAAGGTTTTTGTTTGTTTTTCATGGACATTTTGGCTTAATCTCTAGTTGCCCCCCGTGGACGTGTTGATGGACCTGTTCCCTTCAACGGTGATACTTGTTATGCCAACGCAGCGCCGATAAATGCCGGTAAGTCTTAACTTTTAGACTGGTTCAGAAGCTTTAAATTAACTATAAACTGCTGGACATTTTCCCTAAAACTGCCTCTGGTTGCAGGTCAAACTCTGGAAGTAACCCAGCTGCCCCAGGTGGACTCCATGATAGACCTGATCCCTATGGTGGTGCAAAACCTGTCAATAAACAGTAAGTCTTCCAACCTAAAGAACCATTAAGAAGCTTGAAATTAAGTTTTTGTCCATGTCTATCTCTAGTTGACCCCAGTGGACGTGTTGATGGACCTGTTCCCTTTGGCAGTGATACTCGATACCCCAACGCAGGCTACCCTGTGACAAATAAAGATAGGTTTGTGGCTGGTTTAGAAGCATAACATGACCTTTGTTTCATTTAACTTCTCAACCTTTCGCCTAAATATGTCTCTGGTTTCAGGTCAAACTGGTAGGAACACAGCTGATGGACCGGTTCCCTATTGAAGTGCTTCTCATTACGCAGACCCGACAAAAGACGTTAAGTCTTCCAACCTATAGACCGGTTTATAAGCATAACATTTACTTTGTTTTCCATAAACTCAAACCTCTCTGGTTTCAGGTCAGTCTGGTAACCCAGGATCTGTTTCTAGTGGCGTTGCTCCTGAAGTGATCTATGGTTATGGAGGTTATCCTTTAGGCAACATGGACGGTAAGTTACTCAATTATCCTCAGATTAGTTTAGAGGCATGACTTTTATTGACTAAAATCTCCTTACTTTTTGCCTGAATCTGTCTCGAGTTGCAGGAAGTAACACCGCTCCTTCAGGACGTGTTGATGGACCTTTTCCCTATGGCGGTGCTACTCGTCATACCAATGCAAACCCAGTGCAAAAAGATAGTAAGTATTCTAACCTATAGACTAGTTAAGAAACATAACATAGACTTCTCTGCAGCTTGCCTAAATCTCTCTCTGGTTTCAGGTCAGTCTGGTAACCTAGGATCCAGTCCCAGTGGCGTTGCTCCTGAAGTGATCTCCTATGGTTATGGTTTTTATCCTTTAGGCAACATGGATGGTAAGTTATCCAATTATCCTCAGATTAGTTTAGAGGCATGACTTTATTGCCTGTCTCTAGTTGCAGACCGTAACACTGCTGCCTCAGGACGTGTTGACGTGTTCCCTTCGGCGGTGATACTCGTTATGACAACGCAGCCCCGATAAATGCCGTTAAGTCTTAACTTTTAAACTGGTTCAGAATTTTTAAATTGACTATAAACTGCTGGACAGTTTGCCTAAAACTGCCTCTGGTCCCAGGTCAAACTGGAAGTAACCCAGGTGGACTTGATGATAGACCTGATCCCCATAGCGGTACTACTCATTATCCCAATGATAAACCTTTGTCAATAAACAGTAAATCTTCCAAAATATAGAACCGTTTAGAAGCTTGAAATTAAGTTTTTGTCCATTGACTTGGACCTTTTGGCTAAATCTATCTAGGTGCCCCCAGTGGACTTGTTGATGGACATGTACCCTTTGGCGGTGATACTCAATACCCCAACACAGGCTTACCCGTTACAAATGAAGGTACGTTTTCTAACCTTTAGACTGGTTAAGAAGCAGCAAATCACATTTATTCTCTAATAACATGGACATTTTGCCTAAATATGTCATTCGGGTCAGACTGGTCTCTATGATGGACCTGTTCCCAATGACGGTGCGACTCGTTATGCCAACGCAAAACCTGTGTCAAAAGACAGTAAGTCTTCCAACATATAGACTAGTTAAGAAGCATAACATTAACTTTGTTTTCCATAAGCTCAAACCTCTCTGGTCTCAGGTCAGTCTAGTAACCCAGGATCTGTTTCCAGTGGCGCTGCTCCTGAAGTGATCTCCTATGGTTATGGAGGTTATCCTTTCGCCAATATGGATGGAAATTACCCAATAATCCGACCTTAGTTTAGAGGCATGTCTTTATGTCTAAATCTGTTGAGTGGCAGAAAGTAACACTGCGCCCTCAGGAAGTGTTGATGGACCTGTTCCTCATGGCGCTGCTACTCGTTATGCCAACGCAAAACCTGTGTCAATAGACTGTAGGTCTTCCAATAAAACCATTTAGACGCTTAAGATTTTTGTTTGTTTTTCATGGACTGCTTGACATTTTCCCTAAATCTATCTAGTTGCCCCCCGTGGACGTGTTGATGGACCTTTTCCCTTTGGCGGCGATACTCAATACGCCAACGCAGCTCCGATAAATGCCTGTAAGTATTTTAATTTTTAAACTGGTTCAGAAGCTTTAAATGAACTATAAACGGCTGGACATGTTGCCTAAAACTGCCTCTGGTTCCAGGTCAAACTATAAGTAACCCAGGTGGACTCGATGATGGACCTGTTCCCTTTGGCGGTGTGACTCATTACTCCAACGTAGGCTACCCTGTTACAAATATAGGTATGTTTTTGACTGGTTTAGAAGCATGACGTTTGTTTCATTTAACTTCTTGACATTTCGCCTAAATATGTCTCTGATTTCAGGTCAAACCAGTATTAACACAGCTGATGGACCTGTTCCCTACGAACCGACGGATCCTGTGGTATTTCCCTGGGCCAAAACCTTGTTCATGAAACCGAACAACTGGAAGCCACTTTTCCGGGGTTACGCCCAATGGGAACCAATCACGGAGACCCCGGCGAGCGATAAGTCGTCTCCGCTGTCTTCGTCCTACATAGTCCAGTCCAGAAACAGCTACATCTATTAATAAACAACTAGAATTATTAGCTTTAAATATCGACGTAGCAAAGGGGCAACAGGTCATGGTGGTGGGAAGTTACAGACCCCCCTCAGCTGTCAAGGACTCCTTGTCTTCGCTAGCAAATCTTTTATCTCAACTAGACTACAAGGAAATAGTGCTACTTGGAGATTTTAACTGCAGTGTCAGAGGATTTTAAAAACCTTTGTATCTCTCTGAATGTTACTCAGATTGTTGACAGTCACCCTAACATTAAGTTCCCTAATAAATCATCCCTAATTGATCTCATTTTAACTAATGTTCCCCATAAATACTCATCTGTGGGAGTATTTGCGAATGAAGGTCCAAAAGGTTAAACCTTGTATTATTATCAGTAAGGCATCTATTGCACGTCTGTCCGTCCTGGGAGAGGGATCCCTCCTCTGTTGCTCTCCCTGAGGTTTCTCCCATTTTATTTTTTTTTTTGTTCCCCTTAAACTGTGGGTTTTCTCTGGAAGTTTTTCCTTGTACGATGTGAGGGTCTAAGGATAGAGGGTCTAAGGATAGAGGGTCTAAGGACAGAGGGTGTCGTATTTCTCATACTGATCTGAACAATCTGTGTTGTATTTGCTGTAAAGTGTCTCTACTGTAGGCTATTTTTATTATATGTACAGCACTTTGGTTCGACCAAAAATCGTTTATAAATGTGCTATATAAATAAAACTTGATTTGATGTAGAAACCGCATGGTCTTATTTTTATCTTGGTTTTATGGAGGTCATTGATAGACATGCACCCCTGCGTACATTTAGAGTGAAGGGACGAGACAATCCTTGGTTTTCTGCTGAGCTGTCCAGTCTCCTTCATGAGAGAAACAAGGCCTGGGCAAAGGCTAGGAATTCAGGCTCAGAGGTAAAATGGCTGCGTTTTAGGCAGCTAAGGAATAGCTTCACTTCAAATGTCAAAAGTGCTAAATCTAAGTACTATCTGTCAGTAACCACAAAGAACCTGAATAATCCTAGGAACTTTTGGAAAGCCATGAAATCGATATCCACCGGTGATATCCGTAATGAGCTACCTCCGTGCATTACCACAGCATCTGGCTCTATATCGGACAGGGCCACCATGTTAAATTTGCTTTAATGAGCATTTTGTGTCTTGTGGCTCTCGGTTTGATTCTGTCACTAACTCTGCTTCTGTGAACACCACAGTATGTGACTCTGAAAAACCTGTGTTGGAAAACCCTTTTAGTTTTACCCCTTTTACTGTTAATGTTGTTCATGAAGCTTTAACCAAGTTAGATCCTAAGAAACCGGCCGGCCCGGACAACGTAGAACCTTTCTTTTTAAAGATAGCTGCAGATTTTATTGCTCCTCCTCTCACTACTCTTTTTAACCTCTCCCTCAGCACGAACAAAATTGTGGAAGTCAGCGTATGTCCTGCCTTTGCTAAAAGGAGGGGAGGTAACTATTTTAAATAACTGTCTATTGGCCAATCTCTAAGTTGTCAGTTCTGGCTAAGGTTCTTGAACGCCTAGTGAGTGAACAGGTAAAGGTGTTTTTATGTAACAATGACATCCTGTCCAAACATCAGTCAGGCTTCAGAAAGCAACACGGCACCATCACTGCCACAATGAAAGTGGTGAATGATGTGACGAGTATTTTAGATAATAAGCAGAGTTGTGCAGCTCTATTTGTTGACCTGTCCAAAGCTTTTGATACCGTCGATCATCGCATCTTAAAGCAGAGGCTACTCAGTATAGGCATGTCCAGCCATGCAGTGGGTGGTTTGTGAACTACCTCTCTGAAAGGTCCCAATGTGTTCACTTTGATGGGCTGTCTTCTGAGTGGTTAAACATTGCTAATGGTGTTCCTCAAGGTTCTGTTTCAGGTCCACTTTTATTCTCCATCTACATCAACAGTTTAGGTGAAAATGTGGATGAAGCTACTTTACATTTGTATGCGGATGATAGCGTGATGTACTGTGCAGGTCCCTCCATTCAGGAGGCTGGTGTTAAATTACAGGCTGTTTTTAACATTATTCAGACTCAGCTCTCTGAACTCAAGCTTCTTTTAAATGTTGAGAAAACCAAGGTAATGCTCTTTTCTAAAGCTAAAAATACACCAGACTGCTTTGATTTGTTATGAATGCACCTGCCAATTACCTGAGCAAGTTAGATGCTGCGTATCACAGTGCACTGAGATTTTTGACAAATTGTAAAGCACTTACTGTTTAGAGTTTTGGTGGTCCTGATAATTTATTCCGGTAAATTACTCTGACCTACTAATTGACCTTTTCCGAAGTTATTGAGTCTATGTAAGGTTGCTGCTTGGCTCAGATCCACCAACGTCAGCAAGATCTCACCTCTTCCTAACCCCCCCGAAGAACCAGGTTCAATTAACTGCTGTTTCAATTCAGACAACTCTTTTTTAATCTGTTTAAGCGATCCCGAAGGATTTTGATATCAGTAAATGGAGTGTGCTCCTATCTAAGTGTGAGTGGCAGGGTGCAATCTTACCTTTTAAGCAGGAGAGGAGAGCACAGGTGTCTTTTAGAGGATCCCAATCCAACAGGTGGGATTCAGTTTATTTGAAGAAAAATAGGTCCAAACTAATACAGGGTTTTTACCTTCTCTCTTTACAACATTATAATCATCCTAACAAAACCCGTGCTGTGATCATGTTCAAATGAAACTTTAATTCACAGTCTTACATTTATTACCAAAATGTTTTAATTTCAACTGCCCGTTTCAGTTGTGACATTTTAAAATTCTCCCGATAGAATTTAGAGGTATTTCCTCGTAAAAAGACCGGTGACAATAAAAAGCGCATTCAACTTTCCATTCACCCATTTATTCACATCAGTTTCATACCGTTTTTCCGACACAGACGGCGGATTAACACTCAAAAACACATTCCTATCCGCCAAGAGTTCGAAGGAAGGTCCTTACAGGTCGCGGTTATAATATTCACCAACACATCTCAAATCAAATCATTCCACTCAGCCAACAACCAAGAAATTCGAGAGATATTTACCAAGTGTGAGAGGACCTTTACCGAGAGCTAGTTACCCAGCTCTGAAGCACACAGCCTACCCGGAGAGAGTCTACCAGGGGTCTCCCCCCCCCCCCCTCTCTCGCTCTCTCAAAAAACCAGTCTCTTTATGCTAAAACAACTGGATCCTAAACCCAAAAAAACAAACTCCTCCTCTATACCTAATTTGTGAAGAACTGCGCATGTCCTATAATGTACAGGGCTAAACATGCCTCAACATGTTCCACAGCTGTTATGGGATAAGACACCCTTTCATATGAGGTAAAAAGGACATGAACTCTCTTTGGCCTCTTAATGTTTCTCCCCTTAGTGTGAAGCCCCCCCCCCCCTCCCCCCTCCCTGTGGACTGCTGCCAGAGGAGAGGAAGAAAACTCAACCTAAACAAACCACTTTGTTTTGTTTATACTGTAACTATAGAAAACCTAAAATATGAAGCATTTTCATTGTGGGTTATACAAGAATATAATTGATTATATTTGATTATAACTAACTTTCGTTTTTAAGTATTAAACATACTATGAAAACTCACAACACCCTCTTTTCAAAACGCAAAGTTCTCAAATAGCAACAGAAAAAATTGTAAGCATACATACATATTCAAAAACCGTCAAGAAGCATTCTCATTATGGGTTTATACAAGAATATGATTGATCATGTATGATTTATAATTAACTTTCGTTTTTTAAGTATTCACTTCATACCATGATCTCAATTAACTTTGGTTTTAAGTATTCACTTCATACCATGATCTCAATTAACTTTCGTTTTAAGTATTCACTTCATACCATGATCTCAATTAACTTTCGTTTTAAAGTATTCACTTCATACTATGATCTCAATTAACTTTCGTTTTAAAGTATTCACTTCATACTATGATCTCAATTAACTTTCGTTTTAAGTATTCACTTCATACCATGATCTCAATTAACTTTCGTTTAAAGTATTCACTTCATACCATGATCTCAATTAACTTTCGTTTAAAGTATTCACTTCATACCATGATCTCAATTAACTTTCGTTTTAAGTATTCACTTCATACCATGATCTCAATTAACTTTCGTTTTAAGTATTCACTTCATACCATGATCTCAATTAACTTTCGTTTAAAGTATTCACTTCATACCATGATCTCAATTAACTTTCGTTTAAAGTATTCACTTCATACCATGATCTCAATTAACTTTCGTTTTAAGTATTCACTTCATACCATGATCTCAATTAACTTTCGTTTTAAGTATTCACTTCATACCATGATCTCAATTAACTTTCGTTTAAAGTATTCACTTCATACCATGATCTCAATTAACTTTCGTTTTAAGTATTCACTTCATACCATGATCTCAATTAACTTTCGTTTAAAGTATTCACTTCATACCATGATCTCAATTAACTTTCGTTTTAAGTATTCACTTCATACCATGATCTCAATTAACTTTCGTTTTAAGTATTCACTTCATACCATGATCTCAATTAACTTTCGTTTTAAGTATTCACTTCATACCATGATCTCAATTAACTTTCGTTTTAAGTATTCACTTCATACCATGATCTCAATTAACTTTCGTTTTAAGTATTCACTTCATACCATGATCTCAATTAACTTTCGTTTTAAAGTATTCACTTCATACCATGATCTCAATTAACTTTCGTTTAAAGTATTCACTTCATACCATGATCTCAATTAACTTTCGTTTTAAGTATTCACTTCATACCATGATCTCAATTAACTTTCGTTTTAAGTATTCACTTCATACCATGATCTCAATTAACTTTCGTTTTAAGTATTCACTTCATACCATGATCTCAATTAACTTTCGTTTTAAGTATTCACTTCATACCATGATCTCAATTAACTTTCGTTTTAAAGTATTCACTTCATACCATGATCTCAATTAACTTTCGTTTAAGTATTCACTTCATACCATGATCTCAATTAACTTTCGTTTTAAGTATTCACTTCATACCATGATCTCAATTAACTTTCGTTTAAGTATTCACTTCATACCATGATCTCAATTAACTTTCGTTTTAAGTATTCACTTCATACCATGATCTCAATTAACTTTCGTTTAAAGTATTCACTTCATACCATGATCTCAATTAACTTTCGTTTAAAGTATTCACTTCATACCATGATCTCAATTAACTTTCGTTTTAAGTATTCACTTCATACCATGATCTCAATTAACTTTCGTTTTAAGTATTCACTTCATACCATGATCTCAATTAACTTTCGTTTTAAGTATTCACTTCATACCATGATCTCA